TCTTATTCTCCTACGGCCACCATGACCATTGTCGAGGCCTGGTCCAGCCGGCTAAAAGTGAGATTTGTTGACGTGACAGGATGAGCACGACAAACGTCCTCCCCTCTGGCATTCATTGAGGTCTGGCTTAAGCTCAATTGTTTAACAGACAAGCTGTTAAAAATGCACATAGGGCCTTCACTTTGCATCGATGTGAGTTACAAACTGTGGAAGGGTCGTACTGAGACGCTCCCTGCGAAGGGACATGACCTTAAGGCAGTGGACGTTGAACACGGAAGTGGAACATTGTTGGCCGCCCGCCACAGCTGTAGTTTTCGGTGTCACTTTACCAAAAGGTTTTTATGCAAGAGTTTGTCCTCTTCGGTGAATAGACTAGATCCCTTGGTTCTTCTGATACTGTCGACATGTGGTCTTAAGAACCATTATGGTGTGTCCAGTAATTCTCAATATCTTTACCCTCTTCGAGGTTTAACTTTCACAGTGTACTGCTTGTTGTCTAAGAAAACTTCCAAAATATGAATATTTAAGCACCTAAGTGTCTTAAATGTACAATCCATTGTTATTATTATAAGCGGTGTTCGAGAGCTGCCATGGCTCAATACCATTACGTAGTTAGAAGATTCAAATGAGTCCGACCTGTTTACAGTACAGCACCACGGTACATCCATCGCAGAGCTAGATTTTGAGGGTGGATTAGTGAGGAAGACTTGCCACGCGTCAGCTTCAATGTTTCCTCTCGCTTAAGAGTCAAGCGGCTCGCGATGAGGCAGGACACGGTAGTTGAACTGACGTAATATACCCGTCTATACGCGTGTGATCCGACAGGGTTGACTCTGCTCTACTAACATAATCGGACTGCCTACGGCAGATACTGCGAGAAACTTGTTGAGCCCTCCAACCGAATCTATGGCCGAAGCATGACCGCTGTGTTTGGTACAATTTTCCGGCTCAAATTTCAACAAAAAGGTACTATGCAGGGTGGCTAATCCAGAAAAAATGGCATAACATGCATTCCAATATGTCGACCTCTCCTTTGAGAACTGAAGATAATGTAAAAATAATCGATATGAAACAACAACTACCATTATTATACTCACAAGCCGATAACGCAAAAGTGACAAAGAAATGGGCTAGATATAAACTTAGACGTTCGACTATTTCCGAAAGATAATTTAGGCTATCCGAATGTCAATTATGAAGCTGTCTTTAATTTACTCAGTCTGGTGGAAAACATTTCGCGATGCCGAAATGTCTCAGTAATTTAAAACTAATAGATAGCGTACAGATACCAAGAAATGCCAATTCTTGCAAACTTCTTGTGAATATTCAAAGAGAAGAACAAACTATTCCTGTAAAGCACAGTTTGCAGACTTTTCAAGTTACACGTACGGTTTTTGGCATTTAGAGAGTATACAATTCCAACTGGTGTCTATATATGTATTTATATATATGAGAAGACGCGCTTTCGGCTCTCTTCCTACCCAGTAACACTAATAAGACTGACATTTTTACCAAAATATACGCGAAAAACACATTGGGGACCCTTCGCAGCGGCAAGACTGGCGAAAAACGCATGTTTGGACTTTAAACTAGTACATATGCTGGTATAGTATCGTATCCCGTTCCTGACAAACAATTACAGAAAATATAGGCATACTTGCCAACCGGTCTCCTGAATTAAGTAGATAGCTACCCTGCTCGTCTTTGACGTCGAGGGTTTCAAAACTTCTGAGAAACATATCTCGACGAGCAAAAAATTCTCAATAAAGATCCGATATGCAATTGTCAAAACACGGGGGATTTATGAGAACCTTCTTTTACAAAAATGGAAATGTGACTCACCATCAATATCCTCACCCACATCATGAGGTTTCCCTTCGACGCCATCGATATTGACAAGAGGGTCTGTTTCGGCGTTGTCGGAGTTTCCGATCAGATCAATGAGCATAGGGTTTTTCGCCGTTTTGCGGACCGCCGCAACGTTCCTATTTGATGACGTCCCAGCCCGTTCTTCGCCATCCTCCTCATCTGAGGTTGACGACGAAGGTTCTGACATGGCGTCAACAGCTTCTTCCGTGTCCTCTTTAGGAGGTAGGACAAAGGGTAATATTGTAAGGTTTTGAATAGTTTTTTAATGTTTAATAGACAATCAAAATGCATAAATGGCGCGGTTCGCTTACCACTGTACTTGGAGAGGAGAGATGGAGCGGTGCGGTTCTTGCCCGCCTTTTGGTTGGCCTTCAATGCTGGCAAGAAATCCTACAGCCAAAAAAAATAAAACAGATGCAAGCGGCGAAAAAGAGTGGTTAACCACAAGTCATGAGAGAAACAATAAGGCCTACTATGAAGTACTGCTTGATGGCTCCATCAACCAACGTCATGAACTGGTCAAAGCCCTCTCCGGTGACTGATGAGACACCAC